TTAGTGCAGATTCTCACAATAGAATGTAAACTCTACAATGACAGGAATTACTGGAAACTTTAAAAAGTGCCTGGAAATGAGGAGGCAGGTGTCACTGTAGTGATATTTGTGGGATGAAGGAGGCTTGAGAGTTAGGCCATGGGTCCCGTTTCTCAGAGCTATATTAATTAAGTAATTTTGCTAGTTGTGTATATCACAAAAACAAATCAAGTTACAAATTTGGGAGGTGGGCAGAAAGCAGAAAATCAGGAATCTTAGTTCTCATGGATCTTGAGAAATCACCTTGGCCTCTTCTCATGAGGGTCAGAGGAAACCAAAGGCAGCATAATTAACTCAATCTGATAGCTTGTAACCCTGGTCCCAGGAAGCCTCTCCACGCCTTTCCAGGTGGCTGTAGGCTAGACCTCTCTGCTGTTGCTGCTCAGAGCGCAGCCATCTCCGGTTGGGTTCCGAGCCCTCCAGACTCCTTATGACTCCAGAATTCTTTTGAATGCTGTCCTCTCAATGTTCAGAAGGAAAGATATTTGTCACTGAGTCCAGCCATCAGCTTTAAAGGTTCGAATTCAAGTCCACAGTGGGACCTGGAACCCATAATAATGCCAGGGTGTGGGACTCAATGGGTGGTTCTAGCACGTAGGGCCTGGGAGTACCAAATGTGGCAAATTCCATCTTCGGATACATTAAGCAGCCTTTCCTTCCAGTCCGTTTTTCTCCCCAGCATTCCATAGCCCATGAAGTTTTTAAAGTATGATGAAGCCTGAACAGAAAAGTTAGCAACTGTTTGAAGACAGCAGCAGGTGAAGATGGATCTGTTTGGTAATATAAACGATTGGCTTCTTTCTGGGACCTCTTGCCTTGGTTTTCTATGTGCTAAGTATATAGGTTCACTGCCATTTCCTTTTAGCTCCTGTAACTAAATGACTGTTATGTGCAAGGTATTGTGCCACGTGCTTTGCCTACATGGTTTGATTTGATCTGCACGGGGAACTCAGTGAAATCTGTCCCCATTTTCTGGATGATTAAAGCTTAAAGAAGTTGCTTATCTTTCCATGTGACTGTTAAGCTTGACATCAAATGAATCATCAAATTGAAAGGATATTTCTATTATCAAATTGGAAGGAAACAAAAACAATGCCTAGACTTTGTTTGGCATCCAAGCAGAAAGATACGAATCGAGCTTTTATTTATTTCCGTCATTAACTGTTCTTGTCTTTGGCACTGAGAACATATTCAGACTCAAAGAGTTTAAATGCTCCTTTGATGTGGCCACATTTAGTGCTCATTTCATCTATATCCAACTGAACATTTTACCAAGATATTCTATTCCACAGGAATGAGGAGCACCAGGAGTGAGACTAGTGGCAAGTCACGTCCTGTCTGCTCCTGCTGTTTATTACTCTTGATGTCTCGAGGTGTGCAGCTGCATGATTGATTGGTTTGCACCCAAAGGTTACCTGCTCATAAATTATTTCCATATTTTGTAGACCATAGTCTATAAATATCTAATTGATGAGCATCTGCACATTAATCCTGTGAAAATTGTGCATCTCAATGGCTTAAGTAAAAACACCCAATTTAGAGGCAATGTCTGCACAGGGTGGAATTTTCAAGTGCAGCCAAGCCTACACCTTCAAAGTGCTGCTTTCGCAGTTCCTCCCCAGGGTCCCTCTGGAGTGCCTTCATTTCTCCATCTAAACCTTTCCCGTTTTATGCACCCCCTGCTCCCTAACAGGAAGTTTAAAAGAACAAAATTTCTTCAGAAAATTAAGTCCTCAGATATATGGTCATATCACAAATTAGCAGTCCAGGAGGAAGAGTGCGTGCTTGGAGTAGAGGGCCTCGCCGAACGTCCAGGGCTTTGGTCGATGGCTAGCCTCCCCTTTCCTTAACTACTGATAGCCTTTTATTTTTATTTTACTTTGTTACACTGTTTTCTGATGACTAACACACATGTAGCTATACAACACAAGCATATTCACACTGGCCAATTTTTAGCCACATTCTTTTAGAAAATATTGCTACTTGTCTGCCAGCCTCCACTCAGGATGTATCTATTAATAGACAGGCAGTCTCCACCCAGAAGTTTGCTATCTGTAAGTTATTTCCATATTTTTAGAATGTTAGATATAAATACCCAATTGATGAGCATCTGCACATTGACCCAATTAAAAACTACACATCTAAATGGCTTAAGTAAAAATGCCTGATGTAGAGACCCTGTCAGAACAGGGTGGAATTTTCACATGTAGCCAAAGGCCACAACATTGTAATTTCAAAAACTGTGCTTTTTTATTTTTAAGATTTTTTTTGGGGGGGGGAGGAGCAGATATAAAGATAGGAGGAAAGACAGGGAGGAAGATCCTCTCTCCGATGGTTCACTCTCCAAGTGGCCACAATGGCCAGAGTTACGCCAATCTGAAGCCAGGATCCTGGAACCTCTTCTGGGTCTCCCACGCAGGCACAGGGTCCCAAGGTTTTGGGCCATCCCTGATTGCTTTCCCAGGTCACAAGCAGGGAGCTGGTAGGAAAATGGGGCTGCCGGGATTTTTAGGACTGGCGCCTAGGTCCTAGGCTACAGTGCTGGGCCCCAAAGCTGTGCTCTTACAGCTCACCCGTGTAGCCACCTAAGCGCTTTCTCCATTCTGTCCAAACCTTTCATGTGGCACGCGCCACCCGACTCCAACTCAAAGTTCAAAAGAACAAAATCTTCATCAGGAGCTAGGTAGGCACATCTGGATAGAAAGGTAGCTACACACATGCCAGTTCAACAAATACCCCACTCAAAACATTCTTTAAATCTTCATCTTGCAGATAAAAATTTGAGAAATGTCGCACTCATAATCTTCAAGCTCAAGATTCCCCCTTTCTTTCTCCTGTCACCAATCCTTAGTCAATGTCACACTGATGAAAAAAAAAATTTTTTTCACAACTAATTTTACACAATGGAAGCAAATGTGACCAAAAAAAAATGTTAAGAACATTGATATTTTATCCTGATAGTCCATAATGAAAATATTTAAATTCCATTTAGAACGGTAAAACCTGTAATTTCCAAAATGTCAAATATAGGGCTTATAAATCCCTATTTGTTTTTGTTAGGCCCAGAGGTTTAGATAAAGATTTTCCATAGGTAAGACTCTACTGGTAAAGATAGGCAGAAAAGGTAAGAGGTGCCACAACTGGAATTGCCCACCATTAATAGGTATGGAAATATATTGATGATGTCTTTTTTTTCTGCAGTAGTTTCTTATAGTAGACAACAATTTCTCATGGAGTACTAGAAAGTCACCACTCATTTCTTTTTCCAAATTGCTGGTAAAGCTGCTCAAACATAGATTACATTAACTCCATTCAGAGATGTCACTTTCTTTTGTCCACTCCCTTCTACCCTGTGTGGCCACAAGTCTGGTAATACTGGCCAACAGCAAGAGCCACACACTTCATTGACAGCATGGTACCAGAGTATATCCTGACAACACAATGAAGAAAAGAAAAAGAGAGGACACTCAAGTGCTTCGGAGCACACACGCACACGCCCCTGGGACCAGTGCTTGTTGTTGTGGTAGTTTAGAAAAGCTATTAAATCACACATGCATGCTATGATGGTAGTCCTTAAAACGACACTGGAGTTGTTTAGTAGCTAAACAATTTTATTGACTCTTGTGAAATAAAAAAAAAAAACAAAAAACACAAAACAAACCACCATGGTTAAAGGCCATAATCAGCATCAACCAAGTGAACCAGCCACTTGGTTATAGTAGCTGAGGACAACACTAGTAGATATTATTGCTTATACCCCAAGTTCATTTATATGTCCATTATATTTTGGCAAGATTACAATCAAATGGGAGCTTTGGTTGTATAAATTCATCTATAACTACTCATTGAAAACTTAATCTGCCATTTTATGGTAGGATACATGCCAATCCCTCTGAAGTCTTGACAATACTCCTCTCATTCCATCTCCTTTCTCTTTCCATGGACTATTCATAACTCAAACACAAAATGGATGCATTAGCAATCATCCCTACTCTACCATGTTCCATCATGGGAGGGAGACACATGTTCAGCCCTCTTCAAGTTCTTATAACTGGTGTGTTTTCACTTCCACTACTAATACATGTTTATCAGCAACCTAACTACATTTTTCAAATGCATGTGGCTGTGACAGCATTTGAGTCTGAATTCAACTGTCTCATTTCCACCTACAAAAAAGCCTGAAAAATGCTCCCAAATCAAAAGTCTTTAACATTAGAGAGTTGACCTACCAAACGAATGAACCCCAGCCCCTGCACACAACACTGGATAGCAGGTATGGAGCTGTGGCTTGAAAATATACCCTTGCACGCACACGGTAATATTCCAACTGACAAGAGAAGCAAGGAACCATTGCCTCTCAAAAGCTCCCCTACTCTACACTTTCTATTTTAACACTGAAAACTTAGAAGGACAAAGTTCAGAACTAACTCACAATAGCACCATATCCTGGACTCTTGGAATTAGATTCCTTTCTGGGTTGGAGAATGCCAGGACCCAGCCTCCAGCTCTATGCTTTCATAGGCCCCTGCTGGATTTCAGCAGGAGTGGGTAGTTTGCCTTAGCCTACTTCTGCAGTGGTGTAAATTTTCCCTGGGAAGATTTAAAAATATGTGTCTTAAAAAAGTGAAGTTGGCCGCAGGTGAGAGACCTGAGGAAGCCTTTTTCCGCTGGGGAGATGTAATGCGCCTGCAGATGGTTGGAAGGAGTCGAGCAACTTCTTCCCTCACCCATCTCCATTTCAAGTCAACGGAGACTCTGCATGCAGAAGCATGGCCAGATCAAGGAACACTGAGAAACATGAACCTTAATGCAATGGTCTAAACCCCAGTGCCCTAATGGTATCTTATGTATTCAGGTCCACCAGTTAGTTTGCCCTGGCTGGATAGTGCTGGGATTTAATAAGCCCTTCTAATGATTATAAAGATGATCATCTAGAATCTAAACATTTGAAACAGAATTTCTGATATCACTATATTTTACATGGCACATATAATCATAGAATTACTAGCACTTACACAGCAAATATTGTACATATACATTCTTGGAGTTGAGTTAGTAATTATACCAATGTAATTCAGCAGAACAAAGATTAAACCCTTTCCAACTTGCACTTAGGGGGATTTCAGTCCAACTCTTTACTTCCCAACAAAAAGGTAACCCTGTAATTATGTAATAACGCTCAGCGGTCATGTGGGCCGAGGGAGTTACAGGGCAACTTCATGGTCAGTTTTGTGGCCTGTAACATAAAGTAATACACAGTATTTTCATTTCAACAAAATATGAGAGACCATATAAAAATATTTTCCAATTTGGAATCTGAAACATGAAGGCTGGATTTTTTTCTTTGTATAAAAAGAAACAAAATAACAGACTAAAGTTTATTAAGCCTCCTAACAAAAAAATATACACATTAGTTTAAGGAATGCAGTGGGAGTCAGCTTCCCTTTTTTGTGTCCAGGCTCCTTGGTGATGAGCTTGTGCTTTGATCCTAACAAAGATAAATGCACAGAGTGGAGGAAGGTCAGTGCCTGAAACCTGAACTAGATCATATCGCTAAGAAGACTAATTTTACAGTAGTGCCTTAAAAAGTGATGTTATCAGATTACTTCTTTCTTTTTCCTCTTCCTCTTCAGGCTACTGCTGGAGATGAATTCCAGAAGCACCACTTTCGCCTTGAGTGATGTTTATTTAGTGCAATATCTTCCTTCTCACGTTCCCTTTTCACGCGCTGGTAATGATCTTCTTCCTTTAGGTACCACACAGGGGGCCAGCGGTGCCGCTCAAAGTATTCCTGGTTGTCTGGTGAGGGAAAGATGCTAACAGTAACACCTGCTGCTTCACTAGACCTCATGCTGAACGCTTCTCATGTCACTTCTCAGCAACAACCCTCCTCATCCAGCAAGGACAACCATCAGGACCATTTGCACAATGGAAAGCCGGGAGGGGTAGAACTTTCAGTTGGCAGCTGGGCACAGAGCTAGGACTCAGACCATCAGATCTAAAGGTCTCAGCCTGCCCCTATGCACGGCTCTCTAGATGAGGGGAGTTGCCATCTGCAGCAAGATCTGCAGCAGAGTCTGGCCATCCGCCGCCAGCTAGGAAGTTCTCCCAAGAGGACCCCTACCCACAATTTCTTGTTTCATGTCTCATGAACATGTGGTTTCCAGCCAACCATGAGGCTGCCAAGCAACATCGTGTTCCCTCCCACAGACACACAAAGGAAATGCTGCAGCTAAAGGTGAGGCGAAGTGGGCTAACAGGACCCCACACAAACTCACCTGCAGATTTCGATTTGATTTCTTTGCGGAACTTGGAACACACGCTGTTGTAGTTGGTGCAGATGTGGTGCAAACACCAGGCGGCCAACTGGTGGGCATTGTGAAACTGCAGATAAGTGACCAAAATGGGGTCAGTTTCTATTTTCTAAAGTGGTGCTAAAATGAAACTGGAAGGCATGGTATACATGAAATGAAATAAAGGGCCCATGGAACTAGTTCAGTAAACCCTTCGTTTTGACCTCGGTGTTTTGACTTTGACCGTGGCTTCAAGGCCAACCCATGTAATGTTTCGCACAACCCTTCTTCACCCCCTGTAATGTGTGTGCCAAAAATAATCACTGTGTCTGATTAGGAGTTCACAGTGTGCCTGGCCCTCCCACTCTCCCCTGCCACCTGGCTCTCCAGTGCTAAGTGACTGTGGCCTCTGGAAGGTAGCAGCCAACAGCAGAAAGCAGCAAAGTCATCTCTGTTTAAGGAAGCCTTGGCAATGGAATACTCAGTGTCACATGTCAGAGCTCAGCTGGCTGGGGCCAAAATGCCGAAAGAGGAGCTGGTGGAATGTATGACTGTCCTATACCTGTCCTTTGGTAACATGAGCAGAGCAGGCAGTGGGAGCAGGGTGGGAGGGATCCTGATACTCTGCCCTTCCTTTCTCAGCAGGTGCTCAGGGGAGTATAGTTAAGGTGGCTGTGACTGAGAAGGACCTGATGTTGAAACAACTGTCTGTGGACTCCCATTCATTCTGTCCCTAGGTCGGCTAGGACTCCTTACTCCCTGTGCTTTCTATCCATACCCTCCTCAGACATCCATACCGTTGTCTGCTGTTTCTGCTGTTTCTTTGATAACCATGACCTGTATCTCTTACTGTGGAGACCAATAAAGGCAAAGCTGTCATAACCCCAAACATTGGGGCAGACTGAACTAGTGCATCTCACTTCCTGAGATGCTACAATTACCTGTGCAATAACATTGGGGTGGTGGGTGTGCTGGTTTGGCTTGTCCCTGCTGAAAAGAGCTATACCTCCCCAGCCACTTGGAGCCCAACAACTCTTCAACTGATTATGGTGGGAATTTTTACATCACAGAAATTGGAAAATGAAATAAAGTAGAAATCTGCTTGTCCCTAAACAAATACTTGCCAGTGCTTAAGGTTTAGCCAATGAGCTAAGACATGGAAATTTCATTCTGCATTTCTCTGGCAAGGCTGAGCAGGGCTAAGCAGTAACCACATCACTTAATTGGTTAGGCTGTGTTTGTGTGTGTGTGTAGGGGGAATTTACAGGGCAATGGTTGGCATGAGAACAGAGTTGGCAAACAGATACAACTAAAAAATAATGATCTCAGTGAAATGGTCTTCTGTGAAATTCTAGGTGATTTCAATTTTCTCTAAGAGGAAGACAACTGAATGGAGATGAGTGGAGAAAGCTCAAGTCATTATCTGTCCCCATGCTTGTTTTCCAAAGACCCCAAATTCCAGGTGTGGGTAACAGTTGTGACAGGAGTTTGCTGATTCTATTGCTGCATATTTGTGCTTGCTTTTCAATGTAAAGTCTGTTACTTGGATTTTCATGACAGATTTTAACAATTTGTGTTTTTTTTTCTTCCCTTGCCTGTAAGTACCCCGATGGGCAAGAACACGGGGTCATATAGGAACCATGTTAGGTTTAAGGGATGATCGGTTCATAGGGAGAAGTATTATGAATGTTGAATGTTAAAGCAGAATGCATAGGCTTCTGTGAAGCCTTAGCCCATCTTCTTCCCTTTGGAACCAGAGCCATCGTCTATGGCCACATGCCATGGCCAGGACAGCAGCACACATCTCGCCTCACCCTGGCTTACACCACCACTTCTCCCTTCACTTCAGGTGAAAATCCAACAGGCTGAAGAAAAAAGATGGAGGAATGTCTTCTCCCTTCAGTCTGTGGGAGGCCCTGCAGACCACTCCTTTGTGCTCACTCCTGCACATTTTCCCCCATGTGAGTCTCAAACTCCTCCGGGAGGTTGTAGGGTGTGAGCCACTGTCCCCATTACCTATGCCAGGGGAAACCAGGCAGTGCCTTGTGAAAGTCAGTGTCAGAGCTGACCCGCAGGCTTGACTCTTCTCTGGGAGAAGAACATTGAGGGTATGGCTTGGGACTCTAGAACTATAATATTGATATTAATAAGAGCTCATTTCTGGAAACGTCAGGAGAGCTGCAATGAGACGCTCATTGCCAAGGGCATGGCAGGGTTTTCAAGGAATTCTAGAAACTTTTCTTGAGTTCCCTGTCTGAGAACTTAGGGGAGGAGGAGAGGCAAGACCTTCCCCTGTGATGCTAAGGGGTTCTCCCACATGTGAAGAGAGTGCCTTAGGGGACAGTGGGACTGGCGTGGGGGTGGGGATCCTTGTTGCTTTTTCCAAGGAAACGCAGCAGGCCAAATGGTTCCTGAAATGCAAAACTCTCAGATCTTCTCAGTGTACACTGGGGCCTCTGTGACTCAGTGGTGACATCTTTATTTAGACAGATGCAACAGTGGAATGTTTTATCAGCATTGAATAAACGAGTGGAACACACTTAAAAGGTGAAAATCAAACTGATACAAACCTGGGCCAATTCCAAATAAGCAAGCACTTCCCCATCAATACCCACACCACTCATGGCAGCCTTGGTCAGTTCCTGAACTGCATGCTGCTCTGGGAAATAAAGAGGGGACAGAAGAATGTTAAACGGTGCCCCACAAGTCGGATATTTTGCCAGATCTGGGGGTCATGGATGCATACTTCACAAGAGAGAGAATATGGTACACAGCTCTCAGCAGCCATTTGAGTTAAATCCAGGTTCCAATCTGAAGGGTAGCCTTCCAGGACACAGGTTTCTGGTCATTAGCCATTGCACCAACTTCTCTAGGGCCACTTGTTCATACATCTGATACAGAAACAATCCTTCAGGTCTGTATGGACCTATCCAGGAAGAGGATACTCACTGGCCATAAATGATTATTTAAACTTAAATAAAAAAATGCTTTCATCACCCTAGCCATACTAAGTGTTCAACAGCCACACATAGCCATTGGACAGGACCGTGCAGAGTTCTACCTAATGTGGATCTAGATAGTATAGCACTCTCTTAGAGTCCTCCAGAGTTTAGATAAGTTTCTGTTTCACAGTTTATCCACTTTCCCTGATGTAACTCTCAATCACCTCTGAGAGTGGAGAGACTAACCTTTATTTTGGGAATTAAAAATGTGAATACTCATGTCTGTGAAAACATCTATAGTTGGATAATACACTATTCAATCTCTTACATTCTAACTGCTGCAGGGACCTTTAATCAAAAGTCACAAGAATTCAGTTGGGAGAGCCACTTCTGCTTTGGAGCCTGTGTTCAGGGCTTCTTATGGCCCTGGGATGGTGGTTAGGTCTTGCTCCCATTTGTGTTGACATGCTTGGGAACAGCTCTGGCTTGGCCTTTCTAGCTCTTTCACACAGATGGCCTCTCTACACCTCTAGTTGTTCTTCTTATCGAGTATGTATTGTTGAAGTCATGCTTACTTTCTGCTCTGGCTCTATAAACTTGTCAGTCAATAAGCCTTATCTGGTCAGTAGGGTATCTAGAATTGTAACCTCCTCAAACATAGGAGTATTTGCAACCATGTCACTTAGAGAAATCACCCGTGCCTTTTCACTTTCAGTAACAGAAATGTCTCAAAATATGTATTTAATACTGGCATGCAAAAGCATTTTCACCCCAGAAACTGCAGAACAATACCATGTTCTAAACATTGTAGATCAGTCAGTATACATCAAATATGTGATCAACAATTAAAGAAATTATCTTGGGAAGGCACATACTAAATAATTACAACAATAACAGCATGGGATAACAGAACTGCATGTACATAGAGGTCTGGAGTTCATACAAGAGGTTTTTTTTCTGGGTCAACAGTTTAAAAAAATTTCATGGAAAAATCAATACCATGTTTTCATTGTCATAATAATATTTTACCAAAATGGCACTATGCTTGGATAGATCACAAATCTTGTTAGACATAATTGGCCCCTTAAAGACTTTTGATCGCTTCGAATAATAAAAATTGTTGTCAAAGGACAACTGATTCTAAAATCCATGGCTAGTTAGATGAATTGAAAACTCATATTTCTGAGAAAAACAGCTGCCCAATGCAGCCTCCTAGAGTACTTAAAAAGTAGTATTACTCATTTGAACTGATGACTTCAGGAATATCAGTGGCCAACAGAGCTTGTAAAAACTCTAACCTGGGTATTTTCAACTCTATCTATCCTACTGGGGAAGAAGTAGGGTGAGTGGGTAGAAAAAGGGAGGACTTTCATTTCTAGGTGGATGTATGCAGCAGAATCTTTGAGTTCAGAGAAATTAATCTGTTATCCAAAGACATTGTCAGAATGTCAAGTGCAAATAAGATGGGTTGGTTTGTTCACATGTTCATTTTAATGTTTTCAACAAGAATTTATTGAGAACCCGATATGATCAGGTGCTTTTTGGATGTGTAGGGGAAAAGCCAGAGAACAAGACAGGCACTGTGTCTGTTTCCACTGTTAGCAGCAATCAGCTACGTGTGGGGATGGACATTCAGATTGCTAACGTAAGTATCTAGTGAATGAAGCTAAAGATTTAAATTCTAAAAAAAAGTCTATTAATGTATATATTTTATATAGACTTGCTTTAGTTCACCAAGTGAATAAATCTAGAAACGATAGATAAAATTTCGTGAAGTTAAGCCAAGTCTTTTTCTGTTTCTCCCAGAGTGAATTTGACAATGTCAGAACATTTTCCAAAATAGCTTTGAGAAAACTACTTACATAATGCTTACCATGTGCCAGACATGTCTCTAAGGACTTTGTATATTTTAACTCATTTAATCTTCAAGACAATTCCATGGTAGAATCATACTAACTTTGTGTTAAACAGAGGGAAAGCTGTGACCAAGATCTAACGGTCAGCAAGGAATAAAGTCACTCAGCAGGCGAGTGGCAGAGGCAGGATTTGAACCCAAGTAGTGTGGCTCTGGAGTCTGTGTTTAAGCATTGAATCTATTGACCCTTTCTCTTTAAAAAAAATGAGAGAAAGAAAATGAGCGATTGAGTCTATCTCTGTGAACTCAATTTTGGCTTCCCATGTGGGTGTAACCTAGTTCCTGGCTCCCAGGATCTATAATAACAGAAAGCTAGATTCTGGAGCTGGATTAGTAATCCTACTCAGAGACTCTGCCAAACGATGTGGGTTTCTTAGCCTGCATCTTACTTGCTAAGAAAAATGCCTACTCTCCTTAAACAAAGACTGTGTCTACACCACACATTACAGAGACGATGGTGACAGAACAGCTTTGGTTCCCAATTCTGTGGCTCACAAGTGCATCAGCATGCATACAGTGAGTGCCATGTGGCAGAGCTATGTAACAGTCATCTTGATATTTGCATTCACATAACAGGGCCTACTACAAATTAAGTGCTTAAGACATATTTGTTCAATTGATTTGTACTATCTGATATTTTTAATTGTTCATATTATCCTGCATAAGCCAGTCTTAGTTTCTGTGTTGAAAACTGTTTTATTTCCTGCAAACATTATTTTTGCCCAAATAATGTGATTTTTCATAACCATTATAGACACAGCATGTCCCCAAGTCACAAGTCTTACCTGCAAGTGCAACCAAGTGTGGCAGGCAAAATCTGTTTGCCAAGGCAATTAATTCCAGTGGGTCCAGGTCCAAGTTAGGTGACAACTGCTTGGTATAGAGATAATCCAACACTGCTTGCATTGATATCTTGTTTATGTTCGGGAGATATACCTGAAATGTTACATGACAAGCTAAATTCTAAAGAAAGCAGGGAGTGGGGACATTTCCAAATGATGATGCTTATAATATTGCAACTGCGTGACTTGACACTGGTGACCACTGGACACCTGCTTTTAGGCTGTGCATGGAAATCATTCAGTATTTATGGCTTTAAACCTAATAGTTTGATTTGTAGATGACAAAAAGTGAAGCTGCCTCACATAGCCTGATTTGGAATTTTTAAATGGCTATTTGGACTTATAAATCAGACAAGTGGGCTGTAAATGCAGCATGACATTATAAGACCTCCTTGCCAAGTACCTGATAATGCTGTATTGTGGTGAAAGAAATCTCCTAGCAACATGACAGGCGTTAGGGGAGCTGCAAACCACACCGTTGTCGACACATGATAGAGCCCAGCTCTCCAAGATGTCAAAATAGAGGATGAGCAGCACCCCAGTTGCCACACCGACTGGCTTGATTCCAACATCTATCAGCATATGCTAGCATTGTAGATATACTTCATTATTTTTCCTTATAACCACATGAATTCAGAACTACTGGAGCATTATCAGGTTACAGTAGATTCAGAAAATACAAAGGAATCCATACATGGGACATTTGGGGAAGTAGTTAGCAGTGTACAGGGACTGTCTCTGAGTGACTGCTTGAATACCTGCAGTTGCTCAAACAAATGCAGGCTAGCATTTGCTGAAGAGCCGGAGACTGCGTTGGAAGGATATTCCAGATGGGTGGGTGAGGAATAATGGGATTGTACACTTTGCTCTTTATTTTTATTTCAGGTCTCTAACCCTACAAGACAAGCTCCAAAGAGGTATAGATGGCTTCACTAGCTTTATTATTGCGATGTTGATTGCTATGAAAATTAACCTTCATTCACGGTCTGCCATGCAACTGGCACTATGCTAAGCTTTCCACATGCATTACCTAATTTGATCTTTATATCTGCCCTATGAGGAAGAGACCATTATCTTGGCTATTTTGCAAATGTAGAAATTGAGGTTCTTGTGTGTAAGGTCATAGGGCTAACACATTGTCTTAAAAGGTAGATTTAAATGCAGCTAATATAATTCTAAAGTCTATGTTCAGAATTGCTAAGCAATACTGGAAACCCAAGGAAGGAAAAATTTAGGTTAGAGTATAATAGGGCTCAATATTGTACAAATAACAAGATTTCTAATTCAAAAGGATGAATAGATATAAATTTCCTAATTCTGATACTTAACAAACCTCAACACTTATAAATCAGTATATAAACATACATAATTTTATATTGTTCATAGAATAATAAATTTTGTATAAAGTTCATAGAAGATGGATTTTCCATTCACTGGTTCACTCCCCAAGTGTCCACGACAGTCATGCTGGATCAGAATCAAGTGAGAAGCCCAGAATTGCATCCAGATCTATCATGTGAATGGGCAAGAACCCCACTACCTGAACACCACCTGCTGCCTCCCAGTATACACACCAGCAAGCAGCTGGATAGGAAGCAAAATAGCCCGGACATGAACCAAGCACTTTGAGACACAGACTTGCCAACCAGGGATTTCACTGCTGTGTGAAATGTTCCCCCTGAGCTTTCTGAAGTACTCTCACATATAATATATGATCACACATATCTCTCTTTATGTATCTCCTCTGTACTCCACAAGGGGATCATGGCCTTTGCCTTCTAGTGATGTGATTCCAGAACTGTCTTAATGATAGCAATCTTTCATAGGATTTGCTTATGCAGCTGTCAATCACTTCCTACAGGGGACACCCTTTCAGAGAGGCTGAACCATCTCTTTGCGCATCAAAGTGGAGGTTTGGAAAAATTCCCAGAAATATTAAGATATTTTCCACTCCACCCCACCCCCCGATTATGATTCCACACATAAACTGTATGGGCTTAGCAGCAGTTATTTGTCAGTGAATGAATTCTGTCCACTTTCTAGCCTCAATGATAAGCTGATAGCTTCTGAAGTGTAGACAGTGTTACAGACATTATTTTAAAGTGAAGAATCTGTTGTTTGTGCTGTATCATCTGCAATCTATGGATCTTGGAATGTTCCTCCCTTTAACCAGCTTTATCTACATAGAAAGTGTTTTTTTTTTTAAGATGTTGTATTTACTTATTAAGCAGAGTTACAGAAATAGATCTTGGATCTTCCAGTTCATTCCCCAAATCTAGGCTGCAGCCAGGAGTATGGAATTGCTCCCAGTTTCCCATTTGAGGCATTGGCTCAAGTACTTGGGTTATCTACTGCTTTCCCAGGTGCATTTGCAGAGAGCTAGGTTGAGAGTGGAGCAGCTGGGACTTGAAACAGCATACACATGAGATAAAGGTGTCACAATCCTAGCTGGTTAACTGCTATTCAAGCGATTTGAACAGGAGTTCTAGTTGGGCATACAGTACAGAATATGCATTTATTTATAGATATTCAAACTCATTTCTATGTACATGAACAGGTGAAAAAATTTCATTCCTCTGGAATGATATCTGTTTCTAGCTTTTAGGTAACTGAAGGCTTATCAAGATGTGAAACAGTAACATTGCAATAATTTTGTAGGGAAAAACATGCACATTTTAGAAAGTGTTAGAGGTGACTAATTATTAAATTATTTAAAAAGCCCTGTGAACATTTCTCTGAAATTAAGTTGTCTGTCAGTCTGCCAGCTAGATCCTGACTCTGTTTGCTCATCTCTTTAAGAGGATTTTGGAATAAATGCTGTCTGAGTTTTTTCTTCTTCACTGAGATGGTAGTTTTTAAAAACATTCACATTCATTAGCATTTTCAGGAGCAACAGTATGTTCCAAATCATTGTTTCAAGAAAAGATGCTGGAATTGTGGTGTGGCCCATAAAGCTGGTGCCTGTGATTCTGGCATTCCATATAGATGTTGGTTCAAGTCTTTGGCTGCTCCACATGGTGGTCCAACTGCTTGTGTAACTACCACTGACATGGGAGACTTGGATGAAGCTCCCAGATCCTGATTCCCTCTGGCCTCTGTGGCCATATGGGATGTGACTCAGTGGATGGAAGATTTGTCTCTGTCTCTTCTCCTCTCTTTGTAACTCTGACTTTCGAGTAAAATACATAAATCTTAAAAAAAGAAAAAGGAGGGCCCAGTGCAATAGCATAATGGTTAAGGTCCTTGCCTTGACCATCAGGATCCCATATGGGCACCAGTTCTATTCCCGGCAGATCCACTTCCCATCCAGATCCCTGCTTGTGGCCTGGGAAAGCAGTAGAGGACAGCCCTAAGCCTTGGGACTCTGCATCCACATGGGAGACCCAGAAAAAAGTTCCTGGCTCCTGGCTTTGGATTGGCGCAGCACCGGGCTGTTGCGGCCACTTGGGGAGTGAATCATCGAACAGAAGATCTTCCTCTCTGTCTCTCTTCCTCTCTGTAGATCTGCCTTTCCAATAAAATAAATAAATCTTTAAATATATATATAAAAGAAAAAAGAACAGATGTCTATTATAAATACAAATGGTCCCCCCCCCAAAAAAACTACAAATGATAATCTACTATCAACACACCTGTTGGAATGCATGCAGGGAGAAAAGTGCCCTACTTCAGTACTTGTGGGAATGTAGGCTATGTAGCCACCATGGAGGTCAGTATGCAGACTGCTAAGACACCTGCAAATTGATCTACCGTATGACCTAGCTATCCCACTCCTGGGAATATATCCAAAGGAAGGGAAATCTGTGCACAAGAAAATGACTTGCAACTCTGTATTTCTAGCAGCACAATCCTCAAGAACAAAAACATGGAAACGACCCAGATCCCCTTTGAAAGAGGAGTGGATAAAGACACTGTTGGTACATTTACTCCATAAAATATTGCTCATCCATGAAAAAGAATGAAATCCTACCATTTACAACAAAATGGTTCCAACTGGAGATCATTTTACTGGACTGAAATAAGTCAATCCCACAGGACAAATACCATATGTTCTCTCTGACATAAGACAACATTCATGCAAAATACAAAACAGATAGATATATATGTATCTACATATATTCGCATGGATGAACTGTATAATGGAGACTAGCATATGTGAAGATACATTGAGGTACGTAACTCTACTTCCAAATAAAAGGAGAACTCCCAATGAGACCATTAAATATACTATGACAATATGATACAAGATTTTCTGCCATTTCTATACCTACAACACCATAATGCATCTAAATAGCTGAATTTTGGACTTATGACTGTTGCTGAAGGATTATACTATTGTGATAATATGGAGGAAAACATTGTGAGGGGAGAGAAAGGGAAGAAGGGAAGGGAGAGTAGAAAATCATAGAAAACCATTGAAACAAATAAAAGTGTCATTTTAAAAAAGGCAAAATGGCACCCTAAATAAAAAGAAATTATTTCTGGCAGGTGGAGAGGACAGATTCCAGGGAATGGTCTTGCCCCAATACTTTCAATGTCCCTGGAAGTGTTCTGATGTTTGTAATCACCCATGCCCTGCTGTTTCCTTTTGGCTTAATATGACATTAGCATTTTTTTAAAGTAATGGTTCTTTTTGGCAAATAATATTAGGGACCTTTAGAAATAACCATCAAATGAAAGTAAACTAAAAACACTTTCAGAACACACATTGTTTTCCCCTTGTGGCTACTCTTTAAAAGAATTCTGTTTGTGTGATTTCAGCATTTATAATTAACTGTGGAACAACAGAGAGATTTTTTTTATAGCACTTTAAAAATAATATAGACAAAGCTACTTAAGAAATAGAACCCAAAACCTGCATCTTCAAAAGTCTGTAGTTTTTTAAAAAAAGATGAGTTATGGAAGAAAATGTATTGCAATCCTACATAATGTCCCATATTCCAGTTTAGTTGGTTTAAAATTTTAATTGCAAAGATTAGTTCAGACTATTAGGTTTATAATTAGAGACAGTCTTGTAAAGAATGAGAAAATATTTTAGATCCAGAGCATTGCTTACTACAACCAGGGCATGCATTTTTAATGAACCACTTGCTGAGTACCTCTGGGGAGAGAATTATGCTTACTGCTACATTAAAAGTAATGAGAAAAAAATAGAAGTAAAACACAGTGTCTTCTTGAATATTAAATGATAAAATTTAAAATAACATCAATGGGCATATTTTATTCTTTTATGCATAAGAATTTGAATTAAATGCCAAAATCAAAAGTAGGATTTCACAGGGAAAATCAGATTTTCAGATTTTTCCAAGATAATAGAAAGTTAAAAGGTGGCCTAGAAATGTCCATGCGGACTTGTCAATCATGGAGCATTTATTGAGTGTTTAACTGAGGCCTCTTCTTTATGCCTATCATCGACACTGTTGTACTTAGGTTGAAAGGCAAAGGGAAATTTTTAACTGAGAGCTTTCAGGAGACAAAGATCTTAGCCACTCTCTCCCCTCTCCCTCACCCTAAGAACCTAACAATAATAGGGTAATAACTACTAATATGTAAGGAACATTTTCATGTTCTAAATGCCAAATTCATAGGTACTGTCACATCTGAGTTGCTCCTTCCAGAAGGTTCTTTTACTGGCCTCCTTCTCTTCTGGTGGTCATTCCCTGTATATCATGGTCTATACTGGAAACAGAGAGGAGCCAGGAAAGGGTGCACTTTTTAGCAGCTTAGGACCTTCTTAATAGATCAGCAAAAGGGATTTGGTAGCTTGGTTCCATGGTCTTGAATGGCTTGAGTCTATACCAGCAGATTAACCTTGGCTAGAGTTCTGAGTGGTGAATGAGTCAGTCTTTCCAGGGGGGCTGTGCTGAAGAGGTGGCCACCCCGGGATGCTGTTAACCCTATAATGAGCATTTGTTGGCAAGTTTTGTTTTGGTCACCTCTACTGCATATTTTAATCTGGAGATGATTACAGTCCATTCTGTGAAGGGAAAAAGAGGATTAGCATTCATGAGGTCAGCACTGACAGTGTCCCTTTGTGCCTGGGTTCCTGACCTTGATCAAATTCTCTCTGCTCAGTTCACAGGCGGCCCTAGGCTGCAGAATCAGCACGCATTTCAATGAGCTGGAAAACAAGCGGAGCCTGCTTTCCAGCATTCTATCTCTGGAGATTACTGAAGTGAGGGAAAATGCCAATGGGATGAGGCTTTGCTCATCAGTGGCTATGCAATATTTTTTTCCTTGGAGATGTGAAGGACAGAATGCTACCACCACCAGCACCACCAGCAAAGACAGATAAGTGGCAGCTGCCATTAATTTAATGCTTACAGGGTGCTTTGTGCAAGTACCGAACCTTACACTTCACAACCACGCTCTGGGCCATTATTATGCTTTCCAAATGAGGAGATGGGGACTCAGCAAGGTTAAGTCACTTCTTCTAGACCATCAGCATGTGAATGGAAGAGCTGTGATTGGAGCTTCCCAACCCTTGAGAGGTGCAGTGTCGGCTGTGGCAGTCTGGTAACCATGCTCCAACTGCACAGGGGAGAGTTCCCTTGGTTATAGGTGAGAACCTCCTGCTTTAGAAACGTTGGCAAGACCCCAACCGAGATCACCAGGATAATTCTAAATGTCTTTTCTTCCAACCTTCTCTTGGGCTGGTTTAAGAGCAGCTGCAGTTTGTTCTGGAAGCAGGAGGGTGGCCTACTGACCTTCTCAGCCTGGCCATCCCAGGCTTGTGATTGTAGGATTCTGTTTCTCCTACTTGTGCATGCAAATGCAGACTCTTGGGTCAAAAATGGAATGCTCAGATTTCTCCTGTGAGTACCTTTTTCAAAATGTAGCTATTGTTTTTCAATATTTGTTTCAGAAGTTCACAGAGATGCTGAGATAAGCAAAAGTAAACCTCTTAGGACAATAAACTTGATGGGGTGTTTCCATCCTGTTTTTTGTCTTTCCAAAAAAATTCCAAAAAAGCACTTGCCAAAGCTAACCAAAATTGATTGCTCATTTCTAAAGTAAAGTGTTTGAGTGGGACCCATCCCCCAACCCCCAAAAAACTCTTTTATGAACATTTTGTTAAAAAATTAAAGGCATAAGGTCTGCAGGACACTACTTGCTGTGTTCTAACGTTATGTCCTATTAAAGATGAGGTCAATGGCTGATCAGTGACCTAGGTGTTTCTACTAGGCCTATGTACTTTGAGATGTTCAGAACAGTATCAATTTGATCCATTACAGTTTCCCTACAAATAACAAACACACATGTCTGTGCAACACTGGTAATGAAGCCAGGGCAGAGGCTCAGGAAATGTTGCAGCTCATGGTGGCCTCTAGGATGACCTGGCACATTCCTCATCTTGTGGTGAAAGACAGGGCAGAAAGGTGTGGTTTCGTAAGGCCTGGCCTGGGTAAGAGTGACATTGAGTCTGAGAAGCAGTGACCGGTGGACTTTCTCCATTTCTGAACTCCTGGAAGACAGGCTCTGGCCACCTCATACTTATTTTGATTGTACCTTAAAAAAAAAATGTTTGGCCTTTCCTAGCTCCACAGGTAAGGCAAACTGTGAGGATGAAAGTGTATGTTGCATGTAAAGCACCCAGGTGCTTGCCACACACAACAAATGGATGGTAACCAGCAGTTCCTCATTAAAGACTGGGAAAATGGTGACCACACATTCAAGCACTGCCGAGGGCACATTTCATGGAAGCAGTTGAAGAAAGGAAGTTGTCTTGCCAATTGAACTTGCTGAATGAATGAATACACATACACTCTTACATGTTGATGAAGCTGCCATGAGACTGTGAAAAAGGCACCTACCTCACTGTTGGCACTTTCCACAAACGACCCTCCAAACATGGCTGCCATCCACTCGCAGCTACAGATGAGCAGTGGCTTGTGGGCACTGATGGCTCCATCATCCAACGTAAAGGTCACATCTGCCAAAGGGTGAATGGAGTACCAAGTGAGCCAGCTTCACCAAGAGTTTACCCCAAGGCTTCTGCTCCACCATTTACCCTGAACATCCCTCTCTTTCTCTTCTGTATTTACTGATTTGATGTCCACCCTTATCTTTCACATACTTGATTGCCACATAGAAGAGCAAGCAATTACAATTATACATAAAATAGTTCACAACACAAATTCTCTAAATGATAAAGTAACAAAATCTGGAATATTTTTGTCCCCTTCTTACTGTGATAACTTTCAGAGAACAGTGGAAAAAATACAACAATCACTGGGTAGACTTTTTCCTAACAGATAACATGACATGTCATTCCTAACAATTATCTAATGAATTTAAAAAAAATTCCTGAATAACCTACCATTATTATTACATTTAAGAAAACTAGGAAGAATTCTCTAATTTCACTATCCACTTCATCCTAAATTTGTCTATCATCCCTTGTTTAATTTTCTAAAGCCTTATAACATCTTCCATTTAAAATTTTTATTTTCATTTTATTTGAATGGCTAAAAGACAGAGAAAGAAACACACACACATACACACACACAAGATGGGGGGGGGGTGGATGGGGAGAGAGAGAGAGAATGAGAGAGCAAGTGAGCAAGAGAGAGAGCAATCTTTCATTCACTGGTTCATTCTCCAAATGACTATAGCAGCCATGGTTAGGCTAAGTTGAAGCCAGGAAACCAGAATTCAATCCAAATCTCCCTATGGTGGCAGGAAATGATCTGTTTGAGTCATCACTGCCATCTCCAAGGGTATGCACTAGAAAGAACGGAAGTGTAGCTGGGACTTCTGCTCAGACACTTCAATAGGGGATGAGGGCATCACAGGCGGTGCAGTATCTCTGTGCCAATTGCTTGCACCTGTGACAGCCCTTTCATTAACTTCCTATACTGTTTCTCTTCCATGATGGACAATGTTGGAAGTGAATATTACTCATAAACTTTAAAATTAGTTAACATATCCAGCAACTACTATACATATCAGGGATTATTGAAGGTAAAGACAAAAATGGAGGTATCTACAGGAACAGAATTCAGGAAGTCCAACTATTTTTTTACAATGAAATACACCCTTTCTCTCACACACACAGCATAATTTCACAACAAAAGCACTGTGAGTGTGGTAGAAAAGTAGGAATTGGGTAAGAATGGATCGTGACCCAGATTGGATGCAGGCCACACAGCGCTTAAGCAATTGTGAGGGTGCTGCAGGCAGCATGATAGCATACATAGATAGCAGGAAACTATAGAGGAGTAGGTCAGGCAGTGTGATGCAGAAAAGAGAAAGCGATGGAAACAGAATGATGATCTGCTCACCTGAGAATGTCCCCTTGCCGAGACACTCTTTTATCCGATTGGCTTTCCTGACATGAAATGCTTTTGTAATCTCTTGGTTCATGAAAGCTTCCTTGTTCATTATATTTTCTACCATCATCCTCAAATCAAACATCTCTAGGATCTCTGCGATCTGAGCCAGGCCCACCAAATCCTTTTCCTTTTCATCTAGTTGCCCCGTATAAAGGAACTGGAGCAGGGTTCGGAAAGGGCCAGACTGCACGGAGGAGTCCATTCTGACCACGGTCACGGGGCCCACTCGCTTGGAAACGGGATTGACTTGCATTTCCCTGTGCATGCCAATGAAGCCCTTGCTCCAGCCCGCCAAAGCCTGCATCTCGGGATGGGGGCCCTCAGCTTCCATCCCAGTGGTCTCTAGCAAGGCCTTCCTTGACAATTTCCCCTGACCAGCCTGAGGTGTCCTAAAGGAGCCTTCCTCTCTTTCTTCATCAGAGTCAAGACTCACAGTCCGCCCCTGGAAATCCACACTTTGCTTGTCTTTGTCACACACGCCTTCATCCCAGTTGGGGGATTCTTCACATTCCATTAAAAAAAGGTCATAGAATTTGGAAGAAGAGGTAGCGAGGTAAATGCGATGTGCAAAGATGTGCTCCTGGTCCTGCAGGATGAACAGGACGTCTGCACACAGAGGATTATCCAGTAAACAGGCAGCTTCGTTCATGCCCATGGAAGGACACTCTGGAATTCTGATGACTGGCGGGGGTGCTTTGGGAGGTAGGAAAGGGGCCTGAAGCAAAGGTTTCTGGACTTTCTTTAAGTGGGATTTCCAGAACTGCAGGTGGCGGCGAGAAATCAGCGCAGCTCGGATTGCATTGTCAAACACATCCTTAATCCCAAACTGGTCAAATACACTTGTTTCATAGTATGGGATGCCAAGTTCCTTTGCTACCTCCCGGCCTTTTTCTGGGGGCAAAATATCCCCTCTCTTTATGGGTCTGAAACAGAATATTAAAAAAAATTGTGAGGTTAGTCTTGTCTTAGCATAGAATAATGGTTAGCACTAAGAACCCAATTGAATTACACATTTAAAACACTATTCAGGCATCTATTACACATCTTAAAATCTACCAACCAAATATGAAAAAGAATTATGACCGTAAAAAATGCTTCACATACTAACAGGAGTAATGGTCATATCTGTCTTTTACTAGTTATTTGATCACAGACAAATATATCTTTAAGTATTTTAGTATCTGGGAAAAATAATGCTGAGAATGAGTATCTATACTGTACAAGACCACTGAAAGGTTTAAATGAGAAAATGGACTTAGTATATAGTATTGGGTCCACAGTAAGTACTTCAAAACTCTTATCTTACTTATTACTACCACCATCTTCTTCATCATCACATTATATTTAAATGTTGCTTTATAACTTTAAAATTCATAGATGTTGGGGCTGGAGTCGTGGTGCAGTGAGTTAGCCTGCAGTCCGTGACACTTGCAGCCTGTATTGGAGTACTGATTTGCATCCTGGTTGCTATGCTTTTGATCCAGCCCCTTGTTAATGGTCCCAGAGAAAGCAGCAGATGATAGCCACACATGGAGAGGAACAAGATGGAGTTTTAGGACTCTGGCCTCAGGGTGGCTCCCTCCCAGCAAAGGAGACCATTGTGGGGAGTGAACCAGCTAACAGAAGATCTCTTTCTCTCCCTTCTGTCATTTTATCTTACAAATAAATAAAATACACTGAAAAATAATGCATCCATGCCCCTCTTTGTTTCATTTGCGCTTCACAATGAGGCCTGACTGAAGTACCATTTTCTTTCTCCATGGTGAGGAAATGGAGATAGAAAGTGTAAAGCATCCTCGGCTGCTTTCCTAGGCCACAAGCAGGGAGCTGGATGGGAAGTGGAGCTGCCGGGATTAGAACCGGCACCCATATGGGATCCTGGTGTGTTCAAGGTGAGGACTTTAGCCGCAAGGCTATCATGCCGGACCCAAGACTGGTTATCTTAAACGGTGCCTGTACACAGAAAGTTTTGGGGCCAGGGACCATCTCTCAGTCACTGAAAATCTTCTTCCCTTCTAATGTGCCTCCAATGATTCAATTTCCTAGCCTATGTATGGAAGAATGGAAAGGTTGTACAAACTGAATGTGGAATGCTTTCAGAATTTTATCCAAAATGTACCTAGAGTATAAGAAATAATATAAACAAAGTATGAGTTGTTTTCATTGTGATAACATAAAAAATTCCATCCACATCAAATTTTGTTGCAAGCCTATTAGGCAAACATCAAAGGAAGGTATTAATATTACATCTTTTTGAAAAGCTATGTTCTGCAGCAAAAAATAAACATAAAAAGGCACACAATATATATATTTTTAATAAATGGAAGCTAAGGGAGCATAAAGTTTTTTTTAAAAAAACTCTACTCCTCTCTCCCACTTGCAAGTATTTTAATTTGTTTTAAAGCAGGGGATCAGAAAAAAGGAGACAAAGGAGACAGAGCTCTTCCATTGCTGGCTGATTCTCCAGTATCTGGGGCTGAGCCGGTCAGACGTGGGAAGTCAGGAACTCTGTGTTTATCAAGTGGGTGGCAGGGACCCAAGTAGCTGGGTCATCATTCACTGCCTCTGAGGAGGCGTCACAGCAGAAAGCTGGACTCTGGAGCTAGGACTCCTCCCCAGGTACTGTGTTAGGGCGTGTAGCTGTCTCAAGTAGTGTTGTAACTGCTGCATCAAATACTCAGCCCTTCACATTTAATGTATTTGATGCAGAAAGAGAGGGATAGCTCCCATTTACTGATTCACTCCTTAAATTCCTTCAGTGGCTCCTAACTGAGCTGTGAAAGCAACCCAGTATCTCTCAGCTGGGTGGCAGGAATCTGACCACTTGAGCCATCATTGCTGTATCTCATATCCCAGGGCCTGCACTGGAAGGATGCAAAAGTGAGTAGTGGAACTAGGCATTAAAATCAGGTTCTATGATGTGGGATGCAGGCATCTTTTTTCCCTTTTTGCTTTTTAAAGATTTATTTATTTTTATCAGAAAGTCAGACACACAGAGAGGAGGAGAGAGAGAGGAAGATCTTCCATCTGATGGTTCATTCTCCAATCAACTGCAATGGCTGGAGCGGACCCAATTCAAAGCCAGGAGCCTGGAGCTTCTTTTGGTCTCCCACATGGGTGCAGGGTCCCAAGGCTTTGGGCCGTCCTCGACTGTTTTCCCAGGCCACAAGCAGAAAGCTGGACGGGAAGCAGGGTTTGCTGGGATTAGAACTGGCGCTCATATGGGATCTTGAGCTGCTAGGCCACCGTGCAAGGTCCAGATGTGGGCATCTTAACCAGCATCGTAGCCATTGAGTCAGATGTCTGGTCTGGTCCAATGATTTTTTAAAAGTGGAGATTGTCATCTTGGGATTGAAATACTTTCAAAGGTGGGAATGAGGAACTTGAAGAACTCTAGGTATGCTTACGTGAATGAACTTAATATCCCCTGGAGCCACAATTGTTAAACATTCTGTTAATTAATTTTATAATAATCATAATTAAAAGGATGGATTATTATGGGTAGCTAACACTTTGCTAATATTTTTTAGAAATCAAAACATTCAACACATTATTTAATAGAGAATTCAGTTCAAGTACTTGTGAACCGTTCACAAAAGATGAGTCCCGAGGTAAGAGATGATGGTAGACATGAGCAGGGGTTAGAGCATGCCTTCCTCGTGATTAACCAGCTGACTTAAAGCATATGGCTAATTGAGGGAGTGTCAGAACCACTGAAGAGCAGAGTACCAGGCCACAGATAAACCTGCTGCCTTTAAATTTTAATTTTCTCAGTGCAGTGAAGCACTGAGTCATTGGCTTACCTTGCTAACGGGCGCCTGGCTCGATTCACTGCTTCAAGATCGGCATAGCGGAGATCGAGTTGGCAGCCAACTAGGACAACAGGTGTACGAGGGCAAAAGTGCTTGATTTCTTGATACCACATTGTTTTCACATGATTTAGGGAGTTGGGGTTAGCGATCGAAAAACAGAGGACCACAACATCGGACCTAAGAGGAAATCATAGGAAAAATGTGTATTGCCTTTTAACTTTTCCCCACTTTTATTATCATTATGGTTCCTCCCCTCTCCCACTTATCTAATGCCACATCATGTCACAGTTTTAAAAAACAAACAAACCAACAAACAGAGAATAGGACACATCTCGGAATCATGCAAAACAGCCTGATAAGCCCCGACATTCCGGCACCAACAACACAGCCTGAAAATTCATTTCCATATCACACTACAGATGCTTGTGCACCGAAAAGTTTCCAATGACGTTATCATGGTAGAGATGGTTACCCAAACTTGACTCAGTCCTAGAACCACAACATGCTGAACTATTTCTATTCCAAAGAAATAGTTGCAAGATAAAATGAGAGAAAAAAAAAAACAACACTACCTTTCCCCAGTTTGAACGTAAAGGTGATAATGATTCAACCCCATGAGATAAAAAGCAAACATTACTGAAAATGTAATAAGTATTTGCTATCCTAGGTCAGCAAATACACAGAAGGATTTCTTCCCTTCTCACTTATGCAAACATGAAAGAGCAAAACTACTTATCTGTTTCTGAAAAGAAAAATCTTGAATTTGCAGGATTTTTGACTCTTTACTAGGTATAGGTCAAGAAGGCAGTATTATACAACTGGTTAAGACAGATAGCTGATAAAATGAGGAAATATTGAAGCAAATTTTTCAAATGTTATATAAGCACAGTGGACTTATGGGGAAAAATTGTTTTGTGATCAATTTTGACATAAAGATATTCCATTTTTACCGAAAAACTCAACATTAAAAAAGCGAAAGTATTGTTTTATAAAATACTTGGCTCAATTATAGCATTCGATGGACAGATGCTAGAAAGTATCTTTAAAAATAGTCATAAATAATTGTTCTAGATTAAAATATGCTGAGTGAAGAACAATATAAAGACGAACAAAATTACACTTGAGAATTCAACACTACCTTGCAGCTAAATTCAAAATAAATGCTTACAATTTTATTAGATGGCAATTTACTGCCGTTATTGTTTATGTAATAAGAAGAATCAAGTCTATGAATCAAAGCACCTTCTTTTTTAAATCATTAATGAGTTTTCCCTCTTACATATCAATGAAGACAAACAAATTTATTCAGGCAACCATAAAATTTCTAAAAATAATCATTTGCAATGCAGAAAACTGCAGGGTGCTTATATTAAATGTAATTCACAAGTTGAATGTTAAAATTTACACTGAGGAAAAATTGCACTGCACCACAGCAAATTGATGGGAAGATCCTGAGATTAAAATATTTTCAAATTACAATAGAGGACCTAGGACTCACAAGTTGATGAATGGTTAGAATTTCTTCCAAATAAAGATACTATTAACAATTCTTGAATGCTAGAATAATATGTGTAAAACTATGCACAAACATATAAATGTAAGGGAAGAATGTCTTTTTTTTTAGAATCTTGATTTAGTTAGTGGAATATTCTGTGCTTGGTTTTTCTTCCAATCAGCATAAATAACAGTATCCAGGAACGCCAAGAATGCCTTGAATTTTACATTTTTCACAGCCTGAGTCTTCTATTATTCATAATCCTATTTATATCAGGTATTTGATGAAGCTCTGCTATAATCTTTGTTCTGATCATAAAATAAAGCCACCATGAATTTTGGCACAGTAAGACTAGTACAACAATATTCACATTTCAATATTATAAAGAAAGAATTAAGGAATTCCACCTACTATCCAACAGTAAAATAGCATGTATATGTATGAAATTGCCCTAATTGGTGCCTTCTATGTCCATATTAAGGCACACAGCTGTAAAGGAAATCTCTGTCATAGCTTAATTTATATGACAGACATGTATCTAAATGTCAATTCTGTTGTTTTATGATACAGCATGTGAAGTTTTGAAATCATAGCTCGCCTGGTTGCCAAGGTTACCACCATAACACACATGCCATTGAACACACAGGAGTTACTATCCAGATGACCTGTAAACAAGTACAGACAGAACCTTGGGGGTTGGAAAAAATGGAATTTTGTGATGGTAGCACAATACCATCAAACGACACACGTCCAGAGGGCACAGTTTCTAACTGTGTCACATCAATATCGAAATGCATGAAATGTCACTGGAAAGCTGAAAAAATAATTCAGTGTTCTTTCATTGTTTTGCATTAAATAATGGTAGTTAAAAGAAGCTGTACTGGATGAGAAAAAGAAGCTGCGTTGGATAAGAACAATAATACCCCTGAAGCAAAAATAACTCATTAAACAAACATCCTATTTGTATTTTGGAATATAGTTTTTCTTTTTCCTTTTGTATTCACTTTTAGGTGCAATGACAATCTCATCATTACCTCATATTGAAAGCCGTGAAAGAAAAAGTTCATGTTTTAACCATCAACTGTTTTAAATATTCTTCTTTATCCTTGTAAATCTAAATGGAAATTAAGTAAATTTTATATACAGACTTTATAGAAGCCTATTTAAAAATTTCTAACAGACACAAAAGTTATACATGTTTATGTGTTATTATCTAATGCTTTAATACATGTATATACATTGTGTAATATCCAACCAGAGTACAGTTATTTCTTCAAACATATAGCATTTCTCCAAAGTGAAAACATTCAAAATCCGATTTTAAACAGAAAAAATATTAGTAATATCTATAGACACCCTACTGTGCAACAGAACCCCCAAACTTCTTTCTCCTAGTTAACTAACCTCATGCCATTAACCAACCTCTTCCTCAACTTTCATCTCACAGAATTCCGTTCTTAAGGTCAGCGATATAAATGTAGTTCCCTAAGCCCAATTTTAACCAAAAGGCCAAGAGTCAAAGGATGGAGTCAGAAAGCTGCAGAGAAAGCTACTGTTTTGACATGTTTCTCTTTACCAGCATTCTTTTTGAATCCCCAACTCTCAATTTATCAGTATCCTCTGTGACATAAACACCTGTATGATCAGACAGCTATTTTGAGAATGCCATTTATTCCCTCTAGATTTCAAGCCACGTTTCTAAGTAGGCACAAGACCTGCAGCTATGAATACCTCCAGCTTTTGGCAGAGTCCCAAGGAACTACAACTATTAAACAACTTTTAATCAAAACATTCATTCCTGTGTGGAGACTGTTCAATGTCTGACATAAACTTGTGTTTGAAAATGCCATTCCTAGGAAAGATTAAAAAGAAAATGGCCAAGTTCTAGCATTTCTGTGGCTATGGCTTGGTTACTTTTTATTTTACTTTGAAGAATGAGATGAAAATAATTGAAAGAAGACAGTGCGATGAAGCCTTTCTCACCTGGGCAATAGAGTTAGTATAGAAATGACCTTCAGGGTTCTCTTTAAACTACAAAAATAAATGATAGGATTTAAATAGAACCCTACAGCTATTTGGAGTAGAAAGCATAAGAATTGAAGACTGCAGAGAAAATCCCAGGGTAGGCAAGATCCTAAACTCCAGAAGGGGTATAAACAGGTTTAATAAGTCTGTCTTATTTACTTCTATTACATTTTTTGGATTAGTTATAGCTGTATTAGAAACAATAAATAGTAGCTTTATTAGAAAGCTAGAATTGCAAAGAACTTAAGGGTATATGGCCTTAGTTGTTTGCTCATGAAATGCTTATTTTTTTTAGTGAAAAATATGGTTTTTTTTAATTCTTTAGAGGAAAATATCAACACAAAAATTTCAATTCAGCAATAATACATCAAATTATGCTCATGAACTAAAGTTTGATTAGTTAAGTCAAAAAAGATCCAAAGCAAATTAGTGTGTTGGAACAACCGGGAATCTCCAGTTTCACAGGGGAATGAGAGAGAAAGAGAATGAGAGATGATCAAGCCAATCTCAACTGTATCAACTTTTCTTTAGAGATAAAACTAACAAAAAGCATATTTTCAGTTATCTTTCAAGGGGGAACACTGGCCAAAGATAGCATGTGAAAGTTTGGCAAAGATATTTGGATAACATAAGGAGTGAATACAAAGTTGGGTCTCATTTTTTGTTGGAGGATTAAGGAAAAGATACAAAAAAAGTGTATTTTAACCACATTATCTTGGCCTGAGCTAGATTTTGAACAGCAAATACCACACATGTTCTCAAAGTCTGTCTTTAGAAAGTCTCCAGGCAAATCTAGCCAACTTGATGGGAAAAGGTTGGAGAAAGAGCCAGAAGCTGAATTATCTCTCGAAACCGAAAGACCAAATAAGTGGTTGGAAAAGGGCAGATCATCAATATCAAGCTCCTATTGTTGGAAATAAACCTTCTAAGTTCTTTCCTATCACAGAAACATGCTTCACCATTATTACCCAACCAAGGAGCTGTGGATCCTGGATTTTCTTGTCTATCTAGTTGAAAGAATAATTTTGAAATTGTCCTTGTAGGTAAGAGCATCAGATCAGGCCAACTTGATGGGCAAAGTGAACGATGGTGGATCTCACCCAGTACCCTAGAAAGGATAGATGTGTGCAGGACAGACAACTGCCTTTCTCCATTGTTTCTAGTTCTGTTTGAGTCTCTTGCTAATTAAATCTTTGCTGACCAAGACTAAGTCAGTGTCTATATTTACATGATTTCTGCTTAGAAACACAGTATCTTCTTTCAAAATGTACATTTGCATTTTAAAACTTTTTATTCTATGGTAGAATCATCCATTGCCTATTATTATCTAGTTCATTTTTCTTTTTAGGAAAATCACCAGTACCTGCTGCATTGGTTAAGATCATGGTCACGTTTAATGGGATTCTTTTCCTTATCAATGGATATAAACCCCCTTTCTGGCAAAGATTTAGGCAGGAATACTGACTCTCCAACTACTGGAGCTTTCATCTTCCTTCTCTGATTGTAACCAAGGCAGGTTCTTTACAGAAACATTTTTGAAACCATCCATGTCAGCAACACACCTTTCATGCACATAGTCTGACAGTGCTATGCAAACAGACATCAAAACAGCACAAAACAGCTGGGAGCATGGCAAAGAAAAGGGACGTGTAACACA